TCGGATCTGTTTTTTCTCGCCAGCACGATCCGCAATCACTGGCGAGATCCGTTTTTTGACTTTTTGTCTTTAGTTTCGCCACTCCCACGAGCTCGAAATGCCACACGTGCTGATTTCATGTGAAAACAGTCGACAATGCGATGTCCGTTTCCGCCGCAAAATTCGCAAAGTGTTTTGTTTTTTGCAGGACGTGAACTCGCGTCGAATTTGTCGACTTCCATGGGGTCGGCGAACGTGGTTGAAGCCGAGCGATCCCCTTGTCGTGATCCAACGACGTGGGGTCGTCGTGTCCCGGAGTTGACCAAGTCAAAACGCTCCGCGGCCGATACGATTTCGCTGTAGCTGCTGCAATTCGCTGCTGCAACCTAGCGCCGAATGTCAGTTTTCAGCCCCGCGATGTAGGACTGAATTTTTTCGCCTTCGGTAATGTCGGGAATGCGATTATAAAATTCCTCCATCTGCTGCGTGTATTGCGCGACACTCCCGTATTGCCTATGGTGATGTAATTTTTCGCGCGCAATATAAGTGGAATTAATCGGCTCAAAACGTTTGAGAAGGTCTGCCCGGAACTGCTGCCACGTGGCTTCGCCCTGGAAAATGCTACTGTTGCTTCCGAGCCACTCGAGAGCTGGACCGCGCATCAACGTTGTCGCGAGACGAATTTTCTCGCCGTCGTACTCCGTTGTCGTCCATCCGATCGCCGCGAAATAAATTTCCATCGTCGCGAGCCACCGCCTGACGTCGGATTTTTGATCGCTGGGGTCGAACGATTCCGGCGAGCGAAGTTTCGGAACCTCGAACTGACGCTGCGACTGCTGCGAAGTCGTCGAAGCAGGAATGTTCATGGTCGAGAGGAGCCGCGTAACGCGCTGCAGTTCGTTTCGCATCTGCTCGTTCTCCAATCGCGACCGTTCAGTCGTCGCTCGCATCTCCGCTTCCATCTTGGCGATTTGCGCGAAGAGCTGCTGCGTAACGTCGTTGGTCGCCGGCGAACCCATCCTGTTCAAAAACCACGCGAGGGGGTTAATTCGAAAAGCGCGGAACTGGTACTTACCAGAAATCGGCGTCGAATTGGTCGCCCCCGGCGGTTTTTCGAGGCGATTTTTTCCGCGACCGCTGCTTAGCCGAGAGTTGTCGAGTGAGAACGGCTCTGATTACCAAGTGTCACAGGATCGAATTCTCAATCGAAACTTGTCACTAAAACTGAATACAAGGCCTATTTATACTCGGAAAGTACAAGGATAAATGAGATAAAACGAACCTTCGGGAACACACCCTTCCCGATACTACAATCACAAGTGCGCATAAGCACGCAAGTCTATTGGCACTTGGGATTACGCCCAGATTACACCGTATACACCACTGTCGGCGCTGTCGGTGCCGTATAATAGGTATGTCGGTGGGAAAAGTAGGAAATAAGAGTAATAAATAGAAGGCTCTAGAAAATAGAATAGTAGGCCGATTGAGATGAGATAAAGACCAAAATAAAGAGGAGAAAAGGGAGAATAGGATAACGGAAAAATATAATAATGAGAAAATATTATAACGGGGACGTCCTCTCACAAGTCAACTCCTGTCGTTCCTCTTGTGCTTGTGCTTTAAACCAAGACAGCCATCGCTGTCCACCCACATGGAAAACGCCCAAACCATGCCGTGAGCTCAGGAGCGTGAGCTATGCACAAACATGCGTCTGCTGTCAGCACAATACATCTGCGCCAAGAAAGTAAGGCTCTTAGTGTAGGTATGTGTATGATGACATGAGCCTATTTAGCATCCCGAATGGTGCACATTGAAAGCGGCCTCAGAATTTGACTGCTGCCAACACACAACCTCCATAGCCAAGCAAGCAATACCTTCTTTGTGCAGATGAGTGTGATGAGCCTAGTAGGGTCAAGCAGGTGAGACGACCCTTGTCAGTGCTGGAGTGTCACGACTCACGAGCCTACTAAGTAGGACAAGGAGGGTGAAGCATCTGAGCTTCAGGGCATGCTAGGTAGGGGATAAGGCACCTAGGTAGGCCAGTTGTCTCAAACGCGATGCGGCCCGCGGCTGTCGGCACGACCCCTCTTATTTCCACCTCTCACCCTCCCACCGGTCCCAGCCGGTTATGCTGCACAGGCAGCGTGGCTAAAGAATTATCTGCATGCCTATGAAAATTCTGAGAAGCGACTTAAGATTTGAGAATTCTTGAAAGCGACTCACGATATGAGGATTCTCGAAAGTGTCCCAGCAGGTTATTCTACACGATCACCATGGTTTGAGAATCTGTCTGTCTGCCCAAGCCACCACTTACAGCAGAGGCCCTGCCTTTTGCCTCACCTCACCCCCCCTCCTCCAACCCCCCTCTTCCTCCACCACTCACCAATACCTATAAGGATTTTCCACAGCAAGCAGTGCGGACATGAGGAGCCATCTCACGAGCAGCAGTGCACCGACTGTTCTGCCCGCCTCCTGCCACCATTGACGGCATGTACTTTGCCTTTTCTCCCTCCATCGCTTCCCCTCCTCCCGCCTACCTGAATAGGTTATTTCACAGCAAGCAGCGCTGTCAGGAGAGGCCATCTCACGAGCAGCATTGCACCGACTCTTCCGCCATCCTCTCGCCACCAGTGACATCATGCATCCTGCTTTCTCTCCCTTCGCCCCCCCCTCTCACCCACCAATCCCATCAGGTCATTCTACAGCAAGCCGTGCTGTCAGGAGGGACCATCACACGAGCACCAGTCATCGACTACTCTATCTGCTCAGCCCACCACTGACAGCATGTGTGTGCCCTGCCTCGTTTCTCATACTACCCATCCTCCCAACCATATTTATCAGGTCATCCCACAGCAAGCAGCTGGGGGCCGGCTGGATAGCAGAAGCTGGGGGAAACAGTGCGGGTGGGGGGATGGGAGGGACGGTGGTGAAGCAAGAGGGAATATGAAATCAGGTTGCCTCCTGCCACCACTGTTGCCATCCATCTTCAGACTCTTGATGGGGGGCAGCTTGATAGCTGAATCCGTGGGGAGTGGTGCCAGTGGGGGGGGGGGGGGTGGGAGGGGCGATGGGAGGGGGGATAGTGAAGCAGGGGGGGATGTGAGATCTTCCCCCCCGCCAGCCACCACTAATGCCAGTTTCAGACTCTTGCTGGGTGCTGGTCGGATAGCTGAAGCTGGGGGGAGTGGTGCAGACGGCGGGGGTATGGGAGAGGCAATGGGAGGGGGATAGTGAAGCAGGAAGCGATGTGAGATGTTATGTTTCCCCCTCCTGCCACCACTGACGCCATCTTTAGACTCCTACTGTGGGCTGGCTGGCTATATAGCTGAAGCTGGAGGAAAGAGTGCCGGTGAGGTGGGGAATGGGTGGAGAGAAGGTGCCAACAAGAGGTAAGGTGTCAGCAAGAGGGAAGGTGAGATCAGGCTGCGTCCTGCCAGCAGTGGTGTCATCATCAGACTTCTATGGGGGCTGGCTCAATAGCTGAGGCTGGGGATGGTGGTGCTGCTGGGGTAGGTGAAAAACGGTTGTGAACCAATGGAACATGTACGTGTCTTAGCTCATAGACCTAGCTAAAAAAGGGTCGTCTACTAAAAATAGGACATCATATAAATATTATAATTACAATATGAAATGTACACGCCATACGGTAAGTTTGCTCACAATTATAGGCTACATACGGGAACCTTTATCCGGTAACAAAGAATCGTCGAGCATTTGAACAGTGTGATACGCGGTGAAGTTAGGTGAGCCAAGGAATTTGAGAATGATAGTTCACAAAGTATTTTGCTGTTCTAGACTTGACTCCATTTGTGAAACCTTGTATAGTTGTAACACTCTCACAACGAATCTGTGGTGCACTTATAACGTGGTTATGCTGATTACCCCCACAGTTCACGCCTTATTCACGCCCTCCTCTCGCCTAACGAGGATTGACGACGACGAGTCGGGTTGTACGCCTAGTGCGATAATTTTTTTTTTCGCCCGCATCGCAAAAGTTTGCACGGATCGTCGTGACGCCGATGGAGGACATGCGCGGAGGGTGCGGCGCTCAGACGGGATGGGGAAGTGGGCCCGCGTCCCGACGTGCCCCATCTGGCGGATTGGCGACGCCTACGTCACCGGCAAAGTCGACTGACGTCCAGAGGACACTCAGAACCGAGGAAATCTTCTACCAACCTCCCGGAGGATTAGCGGCAAAGGTTAGTTTCCAAATTACGTGGTTGTTTTTTTCTCAACAAACGCGTCAGCTCTTCCTCGTCCCAACCGGAGCCGGGCTCACCATGATGACGGCGATGGCACGGCTTTTGAAAGAGCTTTTGAGCATAGGATCGAAATTAGCGGTTCGATTTGAGGATGCAAGGAGGGGGTTGGAAGCGGAACAGCGGCAGAGAGAAGAAAGCACGGAGAGCCCGATGTTGTCAGATAGATTGCAGAATCTGGAGACACTTTTAAGAGAAATGAGGGAGGAGAACGATAAGAAGATTAACGAACTTAAGAATGAGTTATCATGTGAGAGGGCTGCAAGGGAGAAGGAGGTTTCTTCACTGACAGTGCGACTCTCGCAGGCAGAGGAATCTCTGTCGCACCAGGAAGAAGAAACAAGCAAGATTTGGGAGGTGAGCGGGAAAGTTTCTTCAAGCGTGTCACCAGACTCAAAGGATTCGATAACTACTCACTCCAGTTCTAACGTTTTCTCACAATGTGCTGCTTGCAGGCAGTTTTCCGGGCTTCGTGTTAGTCGCCAACAAGTGTAACTGCTCAGGATGATGGAGCACGGGTTTCAAGAGAAGAGGTGGAATCACTTGTGTCTGAATCCGTAGCACAGGCAGCAAAAACGCTGGTGCAGTCAAACGAGGAAAAGAAGGGCTGGGAGGTGAGAGCTTGTTGTGAAATGATGTTTATAAGGCACAGTTTTCTTTCTGTTTGTCAATCTCGTGTTCAAAGTAACTGTGTTACGGGCTATCCATGTGGCATTGAAACAGGTACCGACCAATGCATGTTTGAGGATCGTATATTCTACGATGACACAGTCTGTAGTAACGTGGAGCAGCAACGATGGGGTAGATCCTGATCCTGGACTTCACTTCCCTGGCTTGACACCCCTGATCTTGCTCCTCCAGCTCCGTGGACCCGTTTGCCTGACTCCCGTCTACACTTGCCTCTACACTCCCCAGATCCAGTTGAAGCAGGAGCAGGAGGTGCACGAGGTGCAGGAGGAGGAGCGGCAGCGCAAGGAGGAGGTCGAGGCGCACCCGTTCACAGTCATAAAGGTGTCGCGAGACAAGGACCTGTGGGAGCAGACCGGCAGCGACCAAACCTTTGACCTCGTAGACCACGAGCACGTGAGAAGCTTCCACTTGCCGAACCAGATGCTGTTTGCAGACTTCCAAAGGGAGGTGGAGAGGGAGGTTGGTGTACCGGTAGCCAGCCAGCGGTTTTGGCTGTGGGCGCGTTAGAAAAAACACACTTACCGCTCCACCCGGCTGCTGAGCGCGGAGGAGAGCATGACGGTGAGTGAGACATAGGGTGTGGGAAGAGTGAGTGAGAGGCAGTGGTTTTGGCTGTGGGCATGTCGTAGAACCACACGTACCGCTCCACCCGGCTGCTTAATGCTGCAAAAGAGGGCATGACGGTGAGAGGGGGGGAGGTGGGGGAACGGGGAGGGGGCGGTGGAAGGGGAGAAAGAGTGAGAGTGAATAGCCCCATTACATTCTGTTCGGTCTACAGAGGGGCTTGGTGTGCGGGGCACATGCAATGGACCTGCGTCTGCTCTCCCAATCTTTTCCAACCCCTTTCTCCCCTTATCCTTTCGTCTCCTCCCCTTCTCTCACCCGCCTCCTCTTTCAGGTGCGACAGGTGAGGGACTCGGTGAGCAGGGCACACCTCACGGACCTACGTCTATTCTTAGAAGGCTCGCCAAACCCCCCTATAAGTCCTCTCATCCCCCTCGTTGCTGCATTTCAATTCCTTACCTGTAATCAGATCTCGCCACAAACACACAGACTATATTCCTTCCTTTTCTGCCCCACCCCTTCCACGCACTCCCTCCGTTCTATTCATCCGTTCCCTCCTTGTCCCCATCTCTCCCTTCAACCCTTCGCTAACTTTGACCTGACTGCACCGGGCCAGCTGTTGCTTTATTCTTCAACCCCCCACCCGTAACCCTCCCCTGGAAGCTGACTGCACCAAGACCCGGTGTTCATTGCTTTCGAGGTGACTATCTAAGTCGATGCAAGAGTCACCAACCCACCCATTTCCTCCCTCCTTCGTAACATATCTACACCAGAACCGGCCAATGGTTCCCCTACATGAGAGGGCCAAGGACGACATTCTGCTCTTTCTCAAGTTCTACAACCTAGTCACTGAGACGCTTAGGTGAGAGACACTTGGATGAGATGCTCAAGTGAGACATGCTTAGGTGAGTAATGCTTAGGTGAGAGATGCTTTGGTGAGAGGCGTTCTTAGGAGGATGGTCAGTTTGAAAAGCAGGGGTGTAATGCAGGCTTGGAAAACACCTCCTCCTCCAATCCTCCTCTCCCCACCTGCTCCTCTCTCCCTCTTCCCTCTCCACCCCCTTTCTTTGGAGGATATGGGGTTGTCTGCTTGTGAAGCTTGGGACAACCTTGCCACACCTTTCGACGCATTTCTTACATGTCTTAAATATTGCTTTTTCCCTGTTCACACTCTTTCCCTAACCTCCCTCTTGTCCCCTGTCTCCTTTTTCCCTCCCACCCACCTGTGCAGGCACGTCAGTTCGTGAAGCTCGACAAGAAAGCACTTTTTGATGCGGAATTTCACACGTCCAGAATGTAAAATCTTACCCTGTTCCTCTCTACGTCCTCTCCCTTTCTACTGCAGGTACGTGGGTCGTCTCTTTGTGAAGCTTGGGCAGACTCCGGCCGATGTGCGAGGGAAGGTCAACGAAATTTGTGGCCTCCCTCCCACCGATGACATCCTGCTCTTTGAGGTGCGTATGGAGCGAGGGAGGGGGGGGGAGTTAATATTGTTAGTACTGAGAGCTGAGTCGGTTCAAGAGGGAAGGTTGACAAGATGTGTTGCCTTGCTCCCACCGACAACATTCTGTTCTTACAGGTTTGTGTGTGGGGGCGAGGGTAATACTGTGTGTTTTTAAGGACCCTGAGAAAGTAGTCTATGTGTGCGGTCTCAATTCTTCTCTCTGCGGTGTTTGAGAGGAATTTGTCAATAATCGGAGCACTCATAGCCCAGGCAATTCAGACGTCGCCCCTCTCCCCCCTCCCCCCTCTCTTCCCTCCAACACCCCAGGAGATAAAGTTTGAGCTGAGTGTTATGTGCGAGGCCCTGGACCGCACGGTCACATTCAAAGGCGGGCAACTAGAGGACGCTGTGTGCAACGCTCCAACCCGCTCGGCCGAGAGGGTGTGGCGGCTGGGGCTGCCGGGAGTGGTGGGAGTGGTGGTGGGAGTGCGGTGAGGTACCTAGACGTGCCGTCCTTCTTGAAGTATGTTCGCAAACGGCAGCTGGTGCATTTCCGGCGACTAGAGAAGCCCAACGAGGACGCCTTCTGCTTGGAACTGTGAGTTGTTGCTGCTGATTGCACCCTAGTGAACCTGAGCTTCAGGTATCAGATGGTGCCACTCTCTCCTTTTGAGGCGCCTCAAAAGTCTCCTTCCTGGAGTAAGGAGTCGCATAATGTACCTGATCCATACCAAGCACAACTGGCTGGCAGCTTGGTGCACTTTTGAGATGTCTAGAGAAACCCAGCAAAGACGCCTTCTTTCTGCATCGAGCTGTTGGGAGTCCCATAGGTACCTCACCCACACAGAGGTGAATGCCTTTTTCTTGATGGTTTGAACCTGGCCAACCCCGAAGGCTTTCGTACTTTGATTGTCGTAGGATATCCCACCGACGTGGTAACAACGCTGCGGAGGGGCTAGGGCTGCACTACTCTTGAGAATTCTCGGAAGTGGCTTGCACATAGGCCTGGAAGACCCGTCCAATACCCATCACGCACACCAAATCCAATCCACCCTTTTCTTTGTTGCTCCACGCCCTCTCCCCCTCCTCCCCCCCGCATCTCCAAGCAGAACACGACGACGTGGTGGAGAGGTTATCAGAGGTCCCTTTCTAGCTCCGCCTCACGACGCACAACTGCTTCTCAACCTAAGCCGCCTCCCATCAAGCTCGCCCTTCTGTGTTGCTCTGCTCCCTCTCCCTCTCCCTCTCTCCCCCGCAGCTCCAAGGAGCACACGTATGACGAGGTGGTGGCGAGGCTAGCAGAGGAGCTTGGGCTCAATGACCCGTCCAAGATCCGCCTCACCACACACAACTGCTACTCGGAGCAGCCCAAGCCCCGGCCATCAAGTACCGAGGGGTTGACAGCCTGGCTGACATGCTCGTGCACTATAACCAGGTGGGGGTATAAAGAGGGTGAGGGAGGGGGACTTGGTGAGGGAACGGGTTCAGGTAAGGGGGGTGTATGGGGTAAGGGGTGGGTGTGTCATTATGTACAACTGCCACCCACAGCAGCCCAAGCCTGGTCGCCGATCACGTACCGAGGCGTGAATAACACATGCTCGTTCGCAGCTCATGCTCATCCCCGTTTTCCCCGCGTGCCCCTCCATTATTACCCTGTGTCTTGCAGTCCTCTGATATCCTCTACTTCGAGACGCTCAACATCCCTCTGCCTTAGCTGGGCCTAGGGCTGCTATGGCCGCTGCCTTACAGTTCCCCCTTTCCGTTTTCCCCTCTGCTATTCCCCTGCTGTATGTGTGCTGTACAGTTGACAGACATCCTCTATTTCGAGACGCTCGACATCCCGCTACCAGAGCTGCAGAGCCTCAAGACTCTCCGCATCTCGTTCCACAATAGCAAGGCAGAAGAGGTGAGGGGAGGAAGGTGAGGGGGAAAGAAGAAAGGTGTTCGCATGGCGGATTAGGTGAGAGCAAGTTGTATGCCTGGTGACAAATGTATGTGCGTTTTTGTGTCAATGGGAGCTGGAGAGGCTTAAAGCTGCGGTCTACATACTATAAGGGGGTTTTGGGGGGTACTCTAGGTGCATACCCTTTGGTGCGCAATGACTTGAGAGCGAATTGTGGTTTTCCCCCAAACACCTGTGCGATGAATTCGCTCAAAGTTGGCGATGTGAAACAATTTTACGATTGGGTTTTCTTGGGGGAACAAATCCGCGGAATGGCGGGAATTTCAGTGCCAAACACAAACAACCAGGTGGAAAGATTTGCGCCCACCCCGCCCCCTCCTTCCGCCTCGATCGATCGTTTCTTTTGGAGAGTTTGCTACCATGTTTTCAAATTATGAACCAGGGCCTGTCCCTCGAGGTATGTAGATCGCAGATTTAAGCCTCTCACATTGCACAACAGCAAGGCAGAGGCGGTATGTGGAGAGACATGGGCTAGTAAAGAGGTGCATGCGTTTTGTTCTTGTAGATTTGCACTCGCTGATCAAACCTGCTCCTGCCGATGTCTCACCCATGAGTGTTCTGTTATGGTTCGTGTTACTCTTAGCTACACGAAACAGGTTCGAGATGAATACGCCATGGATCTGGCGGGTTTGAGGTTTGGTAAATCTCTAATTCGAACAAAGAAAGGGTTGGAGATCAACTTTTTAGTGTCTCAACCTAGCATGCAGTCGGGGGGTTGGTTGTGTTTCATACCTGCCCGATTCGTTTCGAACTAGAAACGCAGTTCAACGTGGCTTGAGAAGAAGAGCTCAATGGATTTGCTTGACCTGCGAACTGGCTCGACATGAAACGCGTTTGGTTTGTTTCAAACCAAATGCAAAACAAATTGTGTATGCAGCTCTTTTTGCATCGAACCGTACTGCGGTTGGTTCTACGCTCAAGCCTTGTTCTGGGTACTGTCCATGCTTCATTCATGAACTGCCTATTTTCAGGTGTTGGTGCACAACATTCGGCTGCCCAAGAAATCGACGGTGGCAGATGTGCTTGCGGACCTAAAGTCCAAGGTAACGGACGGTGGAGATGCTTGAGCTTCAGTCAGTGTTTCAATCTTCGAAGCAGACCTCAAAGGTTCTTTGATATTGGTTTTTTGTCCCACCTCTTTGTGAAGTTCTTGAGTTGAGATGGGACCTGACAGACACCCCACACTACGTGCAAACATCAACACTGAAGCATCCATATAGTGCAAGGAGCTGTGTGAGAGTCTGATGATGCAAAGGCTGTGCAGGTTCTCTCCCAGTGCCTCTGCAACAGGATCTTTCATATCTCCCCTACACTCGACACCAACGTTGCTGCCCTCTACCCCTCCAAACCCCTCTCTCCCAGTTTGTGTATCCCAGTTCATGGTGGAGCTGTGGCAACCTAAGGCAAAGTTTTGGATGCTGCAGGTGTTCAACAAGAGGAACTAGAAAATCTTCCCCCGATTCATATCAACCTTGCTGCACTGTACCTATCTGTACCCCTCTGTACCGCTCTGTATCGTTTTTCACCATTCTCTTTCAGGTGGAGCTGTCACACCCCGAGGTGGAGCTGCGCATGCTGCAGCTGTTCAACAATAAGATCTTCAAGACCTTTCCTCTTACTGAGCAGATTGAGTGCATCAACGACCAGTACTAGGGCATACGGGTAGAGGAGGTGAGGTGTGGTAACAAATACTCAAAGGATAATCCAGAGAATTCGATCATTCAATAACACCGACCAATCCTGGCCACACAAAAGGGAGCATCAACTACCATTACTAATGAGGCATCTCGGTGGGAAAAGCGAGCTATGGAAGGAGGTGAGGCATGGAGTTGTATTGATGATGAAATGCGTTCATTGGGAGCATCAACTAACGGTACGGTTTTTGTTTAACAATCTCAATTAGACAAGGCCCAAGGGTATATTTATCTGACTAACAATCTCAACCGGACAAGGTCCAAGGGTAGATATATATCTGACACAGACCAACCACTTCTATTATTTCGGATCCAATTTCCCCAAACCTACAGATTCCCAAAGAGGAACTGAACATGGGCCCTCATGACAGAGTCATTCATGTGTATCATTTCAACAGGGATGTCGAAGAGAAGAACCAGGCGGTGAGCTCCGTTCGGTCTCTAAATTCGTCAGTGCCTTATAGTAGTCAGTCTTCAATCAGAAATCATTTGTTTGGCCTGAATGTGAACATGTTACTTGTTTGTCAGGCAAGGAAAGTCGTCTTATCTTTGTGATGTCTTTTGAGGCACCTGCGTAGCTGTTCAAGGCTTCAATTGTATGTCTTTTTCATTGCTTGCTGAATTGAGCTGGACAGGTTTATTGCATGCATGCGTGCGTGTGTCTGTGTATGTGTCATTGGTTTTGTTTGTCTGCCAATACCCACACCAGCTGCATACATTTGGAGACCTGTTCTTTCTGGTGGTGGGGCGGACAGAGACCGTCGCAGAGTTGAGGCGGCGGATCCAGGCAAAGCTGGGCGTGGCAGACAAGGAGTTCGCCGAGTGGCGCTTTGCTTTTGTGGCTCTTGGCAAGCCCGTGTACCTCCATGATTCAGAGGTCATGGCTACGCGCTTTTAGGTGGGATTGGCTGGCCCAAGGGGATTTTGAAGTTCAAGAGAGGGATGCAGGCTTCTAGTTTTGCGGTTTTAAGGGTTAAGGGGAAGGGGGAGGAAGAAAGCGGGAGAGGGCAAAGGAAGGGTGGGAGTGGGGGGCTGGAGATAAGGTGGAAGGTTCGGGTGGGTATTTGGCATTTGGAAATCCATCAACTAGCAACAAGCTTCCATTCAGGTGCAGTCAGGGGTCTGGAGCTAGAGAGAATTAGGGAGAGGGCATGAAAGCTGAAGTGCATCTGCTGGTAAGGGAAATGTGATTCTTTTGTTTCCATTTTGTCCGTCTGTTCATCCATACATCGATCATCCGTCTGCCTGTCCATCCATCCATCCACCCATACACCCATCCAACCACCATTATAACATCCGCCCTTCAACTTTGTTACGCCCCGTGTTTCACCAATAGAAGCGCAACACATGGGAGTACTATCTGGGCTTGGAACATGCAGACACCAAACCCTAAGAGAGTGCAGCACAGCCAGGTGTGTTTTACGAACCCGTTATCGCTCTGTGTTTTTGTATCTTGTGTTGCAACTTTGTGTTATCGCATTGCGTTGTCATTCTATATACAGCTCATGTATTACTGATAAGTAAAACCAAAGGGGTGTGTTACAGTTACCAGGCATGTGCATTGTCTTTAAATGGCTCCCATTGAATGTTGCATCATCATCCTGGCTTCTGTTGTTCTCCTTCCGTTTGTTGACTAATCCAATTGTTGCCGTCTTCGATTTCGGCCCTGCAGGAGGGCACGATGACGAGCTTGTGAAGATCTACAACTCAAATTGCAAAACAATCAGACGTTTCACTGCTCAAACAGTTATATAATGCAGAAGATCAAACAATCAAGGTTCTCCCTAGGTTTTTCTCCCTCATGCTACATCATATATGTTTTTGTTTCTGTCTGTTGTATCAGAAATTTCGAATTAGTGATATAAAGCATATATAATTCCCTACGCCTCCTGATGTGATCTCTTGATGCAAGAGCAATATCAACTTCCCATAAATAAAAAGAACAATTTTTATATTAGTATAAATCAGAATATGATGCTACTTACTGTAGTATCTACCACTAGATCTTCTCTCTCCTCATCGCCATCACTCCCAATAAATACCTTTGCCTTCGGTTTCTTCCTGCTCTGCTGCTCTGCCACCAGTAAAGAGTTTCCCGGAGTCTAGAAGCAAGACTTCCCAGAGGCCAGAACGAGGGCTCACTATATTTACAGGGACAAAAATGCTATCATTTTGACTAGCGACACAGTAGCGGTTTTGACTGCTGTACAGGTTTCCTCTGCTACTCTAATACAGTAAACGCTTCTGCCAGAAGGTTTTCCATATGAGCTTCAGCAACACACATCAAAACACAACACAACCCTTCTTCAAGAGTCTCACGGCCCTACACCGTGGAATGCCTGCAAGGGGGATAGATACGGTACACATGGTTTACAGATACTGCATTTGATGGAATTGACTGTTGGAGCTAGCCTCTGTGAGTCACGAAGCTGATGCTGTATGTAAGGTGCAGTGGAAGATCAAATGTGGGATGGAATGTACATGAAAGACACATTGCCATAAGTGCACATGAAGCAGATGCTGCAGAATGTGTCAAATATGACACTCACTTCCCACAGGGCTTGGATTTCACCCTCAACCGTCATAGTAGCTTCCCGAAAGCTCTCCACCCGAGCACTCAACACTTCCACCCTCTCCCCAACATCCACTGTACTGGCTGCGCCACCGCTTCCCTCCATCCTCCTCTCATCCAGGCGTTGCTGCAACCCACTCAACCTCCCTGTCCGGTTCTGGAGGTTCTCTTACAGCCATCGCCTTTTGTTTCGCTCAAGGTTCATACATCTATATTTCCAGAAGCTCCTTCTTTCTTGCTTTGCTGGTTTTGCTTCCGCTGGTTTTTGGCGGAGTTCTCCCTCGATGTGTTCCTCCTCATGCTCAACTTCTTGACTTATGTTACTCTGGCAGTAGCCTTCTTGGTTGGCGCTCGCCGGTTCGTCCCACCTATCTTTTGTGGTGGCCCCCCAAGTCTTATCCGCCGTCGTGGCGTACCACGGAGCATCTGTCTACGCTCCTATGACTTGGCAGGGACCTCGTCACTACTATAGTGTATTATCCTCCCTTGGAAATCTTTAGTGCTTGATGTCTTCCTTCGTGTTTCTTCTCGCCTTACTCACACCAACGCTGGCAAAACACCATGCAAGCCAGTTGGTTGCTCCCGATCTGGAGGGTCAGCGCTCTTACCTCTTGCTTCTCCCCATGTGAGGATCGCGACTCCCGTGCTCCTTGCTGGATCTGTGTCGATCCATGTGTGCGGCAACCATTGCCAATGCCACGACTCTCTTAAATTGGAATTTGTAACAATGTTTTCATTTCTTAGTCGCGATTCGAGACTTTCCCTTGGCCAAGGCCTCCATATCGGCTCTCCCTGATATATCGTCATATCTTGACTCTAGATCCTCACCACCTAGCAACACGGATTCCCAGCACAACCCTAATGAGCGTATGGGAGAGGAGGAGCTTGATCGTTCTTTTCCGGTTGACTCCTTCGCCGAGGAAGCTGTCACTCCCGCGGTTTCTGCTCCTCCCCCTGCCAAGCGAGCTTGTGGTGCCGCGTCTTCCAGCTCGATGCGCATGGCTCCTGCGGCGGCTCCGATTGTTCTGCCTCTCGCTCCAGTGATGGCTCCCGTGGATGGTCCTTCCGTCGCTGCGCAACCTCATGTTGTGCCTACACATGAAGTAACACATGGTCCTGTCCTCGCTATCACTGGCTGGTACTTGCACCTTCGTCGCGATCGCGATACTGTGGGAGACATTGTTGCGAATTTGGTTCGTGACACTGAGGTTGTTGTTATCATCATGTTTCCTGAATTTATGGAATCTCATTGCAGCGGGATCGTCACCCGAGTCTGCAGCGTGTTGCACGGACACGATTGTGACACGACTTTCAGAGGATTGTGCAGTGCAGTCATCATAGGTGCAGTCGTCATAGCATTTCAAATCTCAATAATACAGCATACTCAGTATCAATAAGTACAATATTATGTTGAAACAAAACCTAAGTGGGAAATGGGGAGTGGAGGGTGGGAGCAAGAGAGTTGGAAATTGCAAATGAGACTAGGTGGCAGGTCCCCAAGACCTGCCGAGAGATGAAGGAGCTTGTCTCCTTTACAGCACACCCCTCTTCAAATCGAATCACAATCTGCAAATTTTTTATTATAAAAAAATTCTCATATTGTGACACGACTTTCAGAGGAGTGTGCAGTGCAGTCGTCATAGGGGGAACGAGACATCAAGAAAGTGGTCGGCGACGATGTCGTTCAATGGTAGCCAAGTAGCGAGTGGTCGAGCTGGATCGGAGCGGGTCTTGAAGAGTGCGCGAGGCATCGACAAGCTCTCGATCGAGCTGGGTGATGTACATCTCTTTGGCCGTGTCGCTACGCCACCGGCCAAGAGCCTTGAAGAGCCGATCGGGAACACCAACATCAACCGCCACGGTTGCGGCTTACTTACGGAACGAGTGGGTGCCAAGATATTCCGGGTTGAGGCCGACACGAGAAAAGCCATCGCGGCACCAGCCCCGAACGGTAGCGTACGAAGGGGAATGGTCGGAAGGAGACGCCCGAGCCCCAGGCCGGAATATCCGTATAAGCGGCCCAACAGTATCTCTGGAGTAACCAGCGATGAAAAGAAACTGTTGGACTCGCGAGACCGGACAATGGCGAGCAGAGGAGGCCGCCACTGGAACCCACACGCCCCTGCCGGCTTGGTCGGTCTTCGAACGAGGGATGAACAACCACATGCAGTCCATGTTGAACTCGATGTGGTGCCACTGGAGAGAAATCAAATCCGAATAGCGCAGGAATGCTGTGAACATCAGAAGGGGAACTAGTCCTCGCTGGAATGTAGCGGGGTCTGAGGACGCAAAGTAAATGTCACATATGTCGTATATCTTAGAGGGTGGTATTGGCTCTTTGGCCCGAGATGGCCGTATGCAGTGACGTTGTGCGTACTCCTTCACTT